CGGGGCCCCGTCGGTCGCGCCAGGCTAGCTGGCCGCCGCGCGCGCGCGCCTGGGTCGGCGCGGCCGCAGAGATGCACCTGCTAGCGCCATGCGCGCATCGAAATCGCAAGCGCGTGGGTTTTGCAAACCAACTTCCGGGTGGGTGGACGAGATGCTCGCAAGAGCACGGGGTGCTTCAACTCGCCCGTTAAAATCAACTGCAAGGCAGCACCACATAGATTGCAAAACGCCCGTCGGCAATATGTCCACAAAAAACACTCCACGTTGATTGCGCCGCGCACGTTTTATACCCGGCGCAATGCTCCACAACAAAAAACAAGACCCCACCCCGTCCCGACCCCCCGTCGGGATGATCACCCCTCCACTTTCCCATGGCAATTTACACATGGTTCTCCCCCATCGCCCATCCTAGATGCGAACTTACACCGCCCCGCGGGGGCCGGCATCGCCCCCCCCTCGCAGCCCGCGCAAGAAAATATCACGCGCGCGCACTCGCTCATTACAAATCATAAGTTGCCAAGAATCCCGCGCGCAAAAGGAGGCGAAGTGCGCGCGCGCCGTCGCTTCGCAATGACGTCAAAACCGATACTCCAAAACAGAAACAAAAGAAGCTTCGCAACACGAATGTCCCTTTCAAATGAAGTTGTTTTCTCCTTTTCAGGGAGAAAGCTACCAAGAAGTTTCGCGCGCGCGTCGAAATCGCTCCAGCGCCGCCGCGCGGGCCCCCGCGAGAACCTTTCGCAAGAAATGCGAAGCGAAGGGCGCGCGCGCGCGTCGTCGCGCGCGCGCCGCAATCCGTTTGAAGCCTGCGGCGTCGCAGCGATGTCAGTCAAAACCGAGCGCCCATGAAACGGCAAAACGCATGGTTTCGCAACATCTGTTTCCAAAGCAAACGCGCGCTCACGCCGGCGGATTCCCACGAAAACCAAATGTGTTTTGACATGTTCACGGAACTCTGCCAAACGGGCCTCTGGCGCAGAATGCCGAGATCATTCGCGCGCCCATGCGCGCGTGCTGAGGGCGCGATCCGCCTCGAATAATACCGCGCGGCCCACTCTCGCGCGTCGGCCGCGCGCGCATGTCGAACTCTCTCCCAAACCTTGGGCGCAGACGCGAGGGCGCCGCCATCGTCGTCGGCGCGATCAGCATCGGCGCCCGAACTGGTCGCGCCGTCATCGGCGTCAACATCGCCACCAGCATCGCCGCAATCATCATCGCGTCTATCGCTGTCGACGTCGCCATCATACCGCGCCCGCCCGAGTCGCCGACTCGCACCGAAGTGCCCGCTGGGATGCGCCGGCGGTCAGCGCCACCGCGGCCGCGTCGGTCGCGCCAAACTAGCCGGCCGCTGCGCGCGCGCGGGCTGTCGCGGCCGCAAAGACGCACCAGCCTGCGCAAAACGCCAATCGCAATCGCCACCGCGCGCGCTTTGCAAACCAAGTTGCGGGCGGCGGGGCTGGATGATTTCGCGAACAGTGGAGTCGACAACTCATTGCAAACATAAGCTGATTCCCCGATCGGAAAAAATGCCACTCCTGCCCCGCCCCCCCCCCCCCCCACCCCCCTGGATTATCGCGCCTCCTTTTCGCATCGCAATTTGCATGTGACTCTGCCCGGTCGCCCATCCTGAATATGAACTTGCACCACCCCAGGGGAGCCACCATCGCCACCCCCCGCCATCCTCGTCAAAACATATTGCGCGCGCACTCGTTCACCGAAAATCATCAATAGCCCAGAACCCCCTGCCCCCCACGAAATGCACGCGCGCGCGCCGTCGCGCGCGCATGCAGAATTCCTTCGAAAACCTTCGGTTTCGCGAAAAGTTCAAAATCGGAAACATGTTTCGCAGCACTGGTTTGTTATAAGAGAAGCAGCGCGCGCGTTCTTTCGAATTTTCCAGAAAACCATAGCTGTTTCCATGATTTCCAACAAATGCCACCAAACGGGCTTCGCGCGCGCGTCGAGATCGTTCGAACGCCCTTGCGCGCGCGCCGTCGCGAGAATCCTTTGAGAAACAAAGAAAGACGAAATGCACGCGCGCATCAACGCGCGCGCATGCGGGCCACTCACGCGCGTCGGCCGCCCGCGCATGTCGAACTCTTTCCAAAACCTTCATCGCAGACGCGAGGGCGCTGTCATCGTCGTTGGCGCGATCAGCATCGGCGCCGTCACTGGCCGCGCCGTCGCTGCTGCCAGCATCGCCACCAACCTCGCTATTACCATCACCGCGTCTATCCTTGCCGACGTTGCCATGATACCGCGCCCGCCCAAGTCGCCGACTCGCACCGAAGTGCCCGCTGGGATGTGTCCGGCGGGCAGCGCCGCCGCGGCTGCGTCGGTCGCGCCAAACCAGCTGGCCGCCGCGCGCGCGCATGCGCGGGCTGTCGCGCACCAGCCAGCGCCGAGCACTCAATCGCCGCCGTACGGGGCTTGCAAACAAAATTGCGAGTGGGCGGGTGGGATGTTTGCGCGAGCAGTGGAGTGGACAACTTCCAGTTGAGCATTGGTGGTGGACTCTCCTTTTCTGAAACAAGAAGAATAGACTCCACCCCCCCCCCCCCCCCCCCCCCCCCCCCCCCCCAATGCAATTAACGATCCACCTTTTCGTCTTGCAATTTACAATTGGTTTCTGCCCCGTCGTCCATCCTAAAAATGAATTCATAATTATCCCAGCCAAACCGGCATCACTTCCCCCGCCATCCTCTGCAACAGTGTGTATGTATATATAATATATATATATATATATATATATATAATATATATATGTGTGTGTGTGTATGCGCACACTCGTTTATCAAAAATCACAAGTTGACAAGAATCCCTTGCAAAAAACGACAAAGTGCACACGCGCGCGTCGTCGGGCGCGCATGCCGAAATCCTTTATAGAAATCTTAGGTTTCGGAGGGATTTCAAAATCGAGTTCCCAAAAAACATATAGAACCACAGAGTTTCGCAACACTGGTTCCCTACCTAGGTTCTGCCTAGAAGGGTTCTTACTATTAGGCTTAAAGGGCCGAGCAGTGGAACCCGCCCCGGGCGGTTCCCCCGGCATCTGCCCCGGATATGTGGGTGCATTTTGTGGCGCTCGTGTGTGCCAACCGCGTTGCCAGTTTCGTTTTCTGTTCGGGTAATTAGCATGGGTGTAATTCCCTACCTAGGCTCTGCCTAGTGGGCCAGCAGAGCTTAGCTTAGCATAGCGCGGCGCTGCATTAGCATAGCATAGCATAGTATAACATAGCCAAGCATAACATTGCATAGCGTTGCATAGCATAGCGCAGCATAGCATAGCATAGCATATAATCACATAGCATAGCCTAGCATAGCAAAGCGCAGCCCAGCATAGCATAGCACAGCTTAGCATAGCACAGCGCAGCATGACATAGCATAGCATAGCATGTTACAGCATGGCATAGCATAGCATAGCACAGCGCAGCATATCATAGCATAGCATAGCGCAGCGCAGCATGGCATAGCATAGCTTAGCATAGCAACTAATGCTGCTTTCCTAGGGGCTCCAACTTCTAGGTAGGGTCGCACTGGGGTAATTTTCTCAATAAGCTTACGAGCGCGCTCTTGCGACATCGAGAAACTATGTGTTCGAACAAAAAACTACCAAACGGGTTTTGCGCGCGCGCATGTCGGAATCTTTCGAACGCCATTGCGCGCGTGCCATCGCGAGAATCCTCTGCAACAAATGGGACGAAGTGCAGACGCGCGCGTCATCGCGCGCGCAAGCCGAAATCCTTCAAAAACCTTGGGTTCCGGAGGGGGTTCGAAATTGTGTCTCCACAAAAAAATCAAAAACACAAGATTTCGCAACACGGATTTTCAACAAAAGCGTACGCGCGCGCTCTTGCGTCGTCGTCGTCGTCGCCGTCCTCCCTCCTCCCTCAGCGTCGTCGTCGCCGTCGTCGTCCCCTGTTTTTCCTCGTCGACGTCGTCGTCCCCTTTGGCGTCGTCCTCGTTTCCCTCGTCTTTGTCGCCGTCGTCGTACTTCCCCCTCCCTTGTCTTCGTCGTCATCCGTCGTCGGCGTCTCGTCGTCGTCCCTCCTACTTCGTCGCCGTCGTCGTGGTCGTCGTGGTCGTTGTCGCCGTCCTCCCTCCTCCTTCGACGTTGTCGCCGTCGTCGTCCTCCCTCTTCCCTCGTCGTCATCGTCTTCGTCGGCGACGTCGTCGTCGTAATCGTCGTCGTCGGTGTCGTCCTCGTCGTCATCGTCGTCGTCGTCGGCGTTGTCGTCGTCGGTGTCGGCGTCGTCGTCGTCGTCGCCGTCGGCGTCGTCGTCGTCGTCGTCGGCGGCGACGTCGTCGTCGTCGTCGTCGGTGTCGTCGTCGTTGTCGTCGTTGTCGTCGTCGTCGAAGTCGTCGAAGTCGTCAGAGTCGTCGTCGGTGTCGTCGTAGTCGTCGTCGGCGTTGTCGTCGGTGTCGCTGTCGTTGTCGGCGTCGGTTACAAGTGCCATTTGTTACCTACCGTCACGATCTTAGGAGGTCTTGCGACCAAGTTGCGTGTGGGAGGGAAGGATGTTTGCACCAGCAGTGGAGAGGGCAGCTTCAAGACAGTCAAAGTGAATTGCACCACGTAGATTGCACCACATAGTTTGCACAAAATATATTGCACATCGAATATTGCACAGCACAGATACCACAACATAGATTGCACCACATGGGCTCCACATAGATTGCACCGCACATGTCGCTCCACACAAGTGTCACGACAGACATTTATTACAAACACACATCTCGGATTGGGATCCACGCTGGCTATCACCATCACCAGCCATCTTTATTATTGTGCTAATTCGTCTTCTTCTTCTTCGAGAGAGAGAGAGAGATTCGTCTTCTCCCTCTTCTTCTTTGTCTTCTTCTTATTCCTCTTCTTCTTCTCATTCTTCTTCTCCTTCGAGAGAGAGAGAGAGAGAGAAAAAAAAAAAAAAAAAAATCGCCTTCTTCTCCGAGGGCGAGAGAGAGAGAGAGCAGTGCGAGCACAGCGGCGCGGGGCCCTC